GGGTATATTCAGCGAGTTCTGCCTTATTACTGATATTTAGGATATGTTGATGTTGAGTAAATTGAAGTGAATAAAGAGAAGTGTTGAGTAAACATGTTGAGTAAGGAGAAGTAAGAGAGAGAGAGAGAGAGAGAGAGAGAGAGAGAGAGAGAGAGAGAGAGAGAGAGAGAGAGAGAGAGAGCTAGTTCCCATTCCGTACATATAATGTCTCCATAAAAACGCGAGAAAGAATCAACATCGCTTAATACTTTTCATACAACACTATTTAATGTGCAAACAATTGGCCTAGAAAGGTTTACAAATCCTTTTCGACTCCCCAACAAGGTGATTCAACCCTGTAAGGAACGACTCTATAGCGCAGAAACACCACAAGGATCTTCCGGACAGTGGATCACATTATTTGTATATCAAATCGGCAGAGAAATTGCTTGAAGACACAGTCAATGGTTGTGGAAGTTGACGGGGCATGCACACTCCCTACCACAACAAGCTGGTGATCCAAGGGGGAAAGCGTACTGTAGTTTTGAAGGGGTTACCTGGTTAACCAGTCCAGCAACCAGGAGGCCTGGTCGACGACCGGGCCGCGGGGACGCTAAGCCCCGAAAACACCTCAAGGTAACCTCAAGGTATGGTGTCCGCGATAACTAATTCTTTGACACTAACACCTTGGTACTTAACCGTCCGTGTGGCGCAGTGGTAACACATTCGCCCCGTGCTTCACAAGCGAACAGGCCTGGGTACATATACTGCCCGGGGAGGACTGACTAGGCACCAATCCATAACTGTAGCCTCTGTTCACCCAGCGGTGAATGGGTACCTGGTTGCTAAACAATTTGGCGGGTCGTATTCCGGTTGAAAAATAAAATTAGGGACTTGCCTGAAACGCTAAGCGTGTTATAGTGGCGGTACAAGAATGAGGGACGCGGGCGGAACAGGGCCGAGAGTGGGACAGGGCCGAGAGTGGGACAGGGCCGAGGGTGGGAGAGGGCCGAGAGTGGGACAGGGCCGAGAGTGGGACAGGGCCGAGAGTGGGACAGGGCCGAGGGTGGGACAGGGCCGAGGGTGGGACAGGGACGAGGGTGGGAGAGGGCCGAGGGTGGAAGAGGGACGAGGATAGAGGACCGAGGGATAATGCTGGCAGACCTGTAACCCAACACGCGATCCAGATTAGCGCGGACAGGAGTGAGCGGAGGCAACCACGGTGAGGGGGTGGTGGAGGGTGTTCTCTTCCTGTCTAATAGACGGGTAGTGCGGAGTGTTGGTATACTGTACAGCAGTTTGTATGCTCCTTAATCCAACAGTTACCAGCCATTCTGTCTGCTGTCAGGTGACCAGGGGAGGAGATAGAGAGCAGTTGAGAGACAGGCAGACAGACTCTGGGACAGACAGACACAGACAGAGCGCGCGCAAGAGACGGAAGGTGGGAATTATCTTCTGTTACACATCCCCCAGGAAGCAGCCCGTGGCAGCTGTCTAACTCCCAGGTACCTATTTACTGCTAGCTGAACAGCGGCTGTTCATGCCCCTCCGAGGTCTCCAGAGCCTCAGCTGTCAGGCTGTAACACTCATGACCTTCCCCCCCCCTTAGAGTTCACACCCAGGGAAGCCTCCTCCAAGAGGTCAGCCCAGATGACCTCCGGATTATCTTGTATGTTGATTAAAAAAATTCCCGGGTTAGTCTTAGTCAGCATAGTTTCAAGTATGTAATATTTCATGATACTCTTGTCAAACATTGCAAGGGAATTAGACCCCAGATTCTTATGTGTAAACATCCATGGATCTCCCCCTTTTGGCCAGGTCAGAGGTCAGTCACACACGTAATTAATAACTCCTCTCTTGAAGAGTGTATGGTGAATGTCAAACAAGCTTATTGAAATATTGTTTAAGTGTTTGTGCACGTGTGGCCGATCTTTTACATTCTTGGGGTAGGTAGCAACAGCAGATTCCCCCCTCCCCCCTGTGGGGGTTGTATATAGAGGTCCTGTAGGGACTTAGTAAGGACAGAGTGCCGGACACCGGGGCCCAGAGAGGTTGTGGAGAACATCGGGAGGTGACAGAAGGAGAGACAGGTCTTAAGGTAATGTGTGTGGTCTCTGAGGTTTTGTTCCATGTCCAAATTTTTTAAATTTTTGCCAGTGTTAGAGTAGGATTTATAAGTGGTGATTGACATAATTTTGGTCTCAATAAACTCATGTTAAATTTCCCGTCTGTGTCAATTGTTGAATCCTCTTAGCCTTTTGGATATAGTGGCTGACAACCGTTTTCATAATTAATGACAGTCATAGAAAGTACTCTCCAAGTCAAGCAATGTTTCTTGCCTCGTTGCTTGATATAGTCTCAATGGTCAAAGGCAGATGGTGGCAGCGTAGTTAATCCTGTGTTAGCATTTCCTTGTTGGCAGTGTACCTTTGAGTTCCGGTGTAACCATCATATGTCAGCTCATAACAGTGTTACCAAGTGCAACCGATGGGGAAGTGTTACTCCGGATAAGTAGTGTTTATATTATTAGTTTAGTATCCATTATGGTGGTACACATTTAGAGTGGTGTTACAAATTATTTGTAACACCACTGTGACTAGTCCTCCCCAATCAGCTCAGCCAACCCAACGTTCCCATAGGCCCAGTTATATCCACGAGGCTGTGAATCAACTGCGACTTCTGGCGAGTGCATGACGGAGCCCGACGACAGGTTCGAATACCCACCCGTCCATCAGCGTACAAAAAGACAGGGGGAAAAAATATAGCAGACAGAGGAGGAATGATCGCAACCTCCTTGCTGGCTCCTTTCTGATCTCTGAAGGTAACGGATATAGAGGGAGTGTTTAAGATATACAAAGTATTCATGGCTGAAAAGGTGGCAGGTGTATAGGACACCTGTTTCCCGCTCAAACGTGTGGTGCAAACTATATAAGCAGGAACTGGTCGGCCGAGCGGACAGCACGCTGTACTTGTGATCCTGTGGATCCCGGGTTCGATCCCGGGCGCCGGCGAGAAACAATGGGCAGAGTTTCTTTCACCCTATGCCCCCTGTTACCTAGCAGTAAAATAGGTACCTGGGTGTTAGTCAGCCGTCACGGGCTGCTTCCTGGGGGTGGAGGCCTGGTCGAGGACCGGGCCGCGGGAACACTAAAGCCCCGAAATCATCTCAAGATAACCTCAAGATAGGACTGCACTACACAGGACTAACACCAGCAGCACTACTAATGTATCCACTCCACTTCAAGTTCAAGTATGTTTATTGAGACAAGAAAAATTACATCTCAAAGGGATAGAGTAGATTGGGCTATGTCTCCCCCCCCCCCCACTCCACTCCACTCCACTACACAGGACTAAAAATGAACAATTCTTAAAGAACACATAACACTGATCCAAGCTGAATGCTGAAGCTTGATGTTCAGGAAAGAACATCATTCGAGTATATGAGTACCCTATACTGAGTACCCTGTACTGAGTACCCTATCAGGACTGACTACCCTGAGTACTGAGTACCCTATCAGGACTGACAATACTGAGTACCCTATCAGGACTGACAGCACTGAGTACCCTATCAGGACTGTCAGTACTGAGTACCCTATCAGGACTGACAATACTGAGTACCCTATCAGGACTGACAGCACTGAGTACCCTATCAGGACTGACAGCACTGAGTACCCTATCAGGACTGACAGCACTGAGTACCCTATCAGGACTGACAGCACTGAGTACCCTATCAGGACTGACAGCACTGAGTCCCCTATCAGGACTGTCAGTACTGAGTACCCTATCAGGACATACAGTACTGAGTACCCTATCAGGACTGACAATACTGAGTACCCTATCAGGACTGACAGCACTGAGTACCCTATCAGGACTGACAGTACTGAGTACCCTATCAGGACTGACAGTACTGAGTACCCTATCAGGACTGACAGTACTGAGTACCCTATCAGGACTGACAGCACTGAGTACCCTATCAGGACTGACAGTACTGAGTACCCTATCAGGACTGACAGTACTGAGTACCCTATCAGGACTGACAGTACTGAGTACCCTATCAGGACTGACAGCACTGAGTACCCTATCAGGACATACAGTACTGGGTACCCTATCAGGACATACAGTACTGAGTACCCTATCAGGACTGACAGTACTGAGTACCCAGCCAGAGAGAGGAATCACCATCAGTGTAGTTTGGTTACTGGAGCAGTAGCCACGATTGGTGGCTCTTCAAACTAGCTAGCGGCCCGGCTGACCACCGACCACCACCAGATGCGGCCCGGGTGGCCAGGGAGGAACACAATGTGATGAACAGCATCACATAACTGAGGGTCGTGGATCGAGGCGTGTTGGAATGTATATGTCCTTACGTCACCGGCGGCCCCTGCCGGCCATCTCCCACCACCTCTCTCACGTCTCATCCTCACTGCTCAAGGGATAGCCCCTACTGCTCCAGGGATAGCCCCTTCCACTGCTCCAGGGATAGACCCTTCCACAGGTGAAAGCTGGAGAGACACGACACAGAAGAAGGTGGAGACACAGGACCAGGTGGAAGCTGGAGACACACAAGGTGGACTAGACACACGACCAGAAGACACAGGTGGAAGCTGGAGACACAGGCCCAGAGGACACAGGTGGAAGCTGGAGACACGACCAGAAGACACAGGTGGAAGCTGGAGACACAGGACTAGAGGACACAGGTGGAAGGTGGAGACACAGGACCAGAGGACACAGGTGGAAGCTGGAGACACGACCAGAGGACACAGGTGGAAGCTGGAGACACAGGTGGAAGGTGGAGACACAGGACCAGAGGACACAGGTGAAAGCTGGAGACACGACCAGAAGACACAGGTGGAAGCTGGAGACACAGGACTAGAGGACACAGGTGGAAGCTGGAGACACGACCAGAGGACACAGGTGGAAGCTGGAGACACAGGTGGAAGCTGGAGACACAGATAAGCAGGAGAAACTTCAGGAAAATGTCTCAAGTGAGAGTGGCAGTTAAGTGTAATTGGCTGCAACAGGTTGTCAAGGGAAATGCTGTTACCATCTTCAAACGGAAGTCAAAAGAGAAACTGAAGAATGAAAGTTATATCAATAATTGGTCAGAGGACGTAAGGAACTGTTGCTCCCCCTCAGTAAGTTCAACTATGTGAGTACAACTAGTTGAGTACAACTGGGTGAGTACAAGTGAGTGAGTACATCAAGGTAAGTACAACTAGTTGAGTACACACTTCCAGATGAAACAGGGCCTCATACCGTATGAGTAGTGATAAAGAGGCGGCGCTCAGGAGCTAAAGTTCAGCCGAATACAAATTAAATCATAAATGCATAACCCATATATAACCTTCCCCCCCCCCTGCACACACTGGAACCCCCTAATGGTTCAGGAACCTGTACACCAGTAGACTGACGGTTGAGAGGCGGGACCAAAGAGGCGAAGCTCAACCCCCGCAAGCACAACTAGGTGAGTACAGTGAACCCACAGACACCACAAGAAAGTGAACTAACTCTGTCTCTCTCTCTCTCTCTCTCTCTCTCTCTCTCTCTCTCTCTCTCTCTCTCTCTCTCTCTCTCTCTCTCTCTCTCTCTCTCTCTCTCTCTCGCAGCAGCAGCAACAGTAGCAGCAGCAACAGTAGCAGCAGCAACAGTAGCAACAGTAGCAACAGCAACAGGAGCAACAGCAACAGTAGCAACAGCAACAGCAGCAGCAGCAGCAACAGCAGCAGCAACAGTAGCAGCAACAGCAGTAGCAGCAGCAACAGTAGCAACAGCAACAGTAGCAGCAGCAACAGCAGCAGCAGCAACAGCAACAGCAGCAGCAACAGCAGCCACGAATGATGAAGATTAAGCCACCCAAGAAGTGGCATGGGCATGAATATCCCGCAAAGGCAACAAGGGTACGGAGAGCTGAAGCCTTCGCTGCTTGCCACCCGTCACCCGTCACCCGTCAGAGAGGGCAGCAGTAAACACGGCTGCTCAACAAACGCGCCGGAACAGTCCTCCTGCACCAATGAAAACAAAAAATTGGCTGAAAGGTAGAGTTTAATTGACGCTCGGAAAATCTGCATGTTTTTGCATATAATTGGTGGCCCAGGAGGTGGCCACTGGCCTCATCCAGGAGGTGGCCACTCTCACACACCTTGTTGGCTCTAGTATAAAGTCTTCCTGGTATTGTGAAGGGGGAGGGGGGGGGGGGGGACTCACAGATAACTATGGTTAACCTCAAAAGATACAGCTGGTAAATCAGAATTAGGCCCTCTGGTACTGGCTATCATTCTGTTCTGGAAAGCACTACAATCACCTGTGGTTGATTGTTAGCAGATCTCTAACCCTGTCCATGGAGGACCGAAGAAAATGTATATATGCTGGTTAGCATTGTAAATGTCTGGCCAAGTCTGTGGTAGAAAATAATAAAGAAAATATAAGAGAATAATTCCATTTCAAGGATTTTTACATTTCCATCCATTTAAATCATGTAAATAGTGAATCAAGGTAGTCAGTACCTGCCATTATAAGAGAGATACAGTTTCTTAACCGTAAAGTTTACTGTAAATCTCTCTTTACAGTTCGTAAGTATGTGTAATTATTGTATAAGTTTTAAAGACTTCTTGACTCACAGTAAGTCTGTGACTTCCTGCTTATATATTAATGCTTGCCACAGTGATACTGTGAGGCGGGACCGAAGAGGCGAAGCTCAACTCCCGCAAACTCAACTAGGTGAGTACAGAGAACCCACAGACACCACAAGAAAGTGAACTAACTCTCTCTCTCTCTCTTTTTCTCTCTCTCTCTCTCAAATAAGTGAGTTTTCACAATATTGAAAAACTCAAAGTATCTTTGATAAGCTTGGCGTGACTGGACTCACCTAGTTATGTTTGCGGGGGTTGAGCTTCGGCTCTTTGGTCCCGCCTCTCAAATGCCAGTCAACTAGTGTACAGGTTCCTGAGCCTACTGGGCTCTGTCATATCTACACTTGAAACTGTGTATGGAGTCAGCCTCCACCACATCACTGCCTAATGCATTCCACCTGTTAACTACTCTGTGTGTATGTGTATGTGTGTGGATCTATGTGTGTGTGTGTGTGTGTGTGTGTGTGTGTGTGTGTGTGTGTGTGTGTGTGTGTGTGTGTGTGTGTGTGTGTGTGTGTGTGTGTGTAGGACAGTAGAAGGGAGGGATGCGTGTGACACTAGAGGACTAATAAAGGCGCAGCAAGTCTGCGTTCAAGTTTCGAGTTCAGAAATTAGTTCCAGCGCCCAACTCAGGGAAGCAACAGGATACATAAAATAAGCATTACACTGCTTATTTTACCATCCAGCGACTACACCTCGTCCCTCGCCCCACCGCAACACTCAGTCTACACTCACACAATCATGTTTATATCGTCCTGAACCCACACCAACACACACACACACACACCAAGCGCTTCTCGACACCTTCCTAAACTTCCAACAAACTTCGACTAGCATTTGGGAAGCTTGTAAACTCCAGTGACTTGTGAAGGAGGAGTTTACTCCACTGACTCGGTGGGGTAAACTTGTCCTGATCGTTGTCTTTGTGTACAAGGAGGTCTTCCCTGTTGAGAGGCGGGGCCAAAGAGACAAAGCTCAACCCTCCCCAGCAAGCACAAAGAGGTGAGTACAGTGTCAGAGTAGTTAACAGGTGGAATGCATTAGGTAGTGATGTGGTGGAGGCTGACTCCATACACAGTTTCAAGTGTAGATATGATAGAGCTCAATAGGCTCAGGAACCTGTACACCTGTTGATTGACAGTTGAGAGGCGGGACCGAAGAGCCAGAGCTCAACCCCCGCAAGCACAACTAATCGACTACACACACACAGCAAATAGAAGAGAAGAGAACGATGAATAAGATGAATAACTGTGAGCTAAAGTGAGAAAAGAAAGAGAGAGAGCCATATATACACACCAGCAGATATTAATACACAGTAAAATATACGAGGAACATACACCACGAACAAGTCTAACTAGCAACAAAAAATCTAAGCACCAACGTTTAAAATTCAATATACACGTTGAAACAAACATTCCACCTGGTTGTAAATATTACAACCGGTTCAACACTATACTAGAACCCGTGCTACGAGGCCCCGCCACACCTGTCCTTCATCCTTAATAGTCAGGATGAGAAGTATTGGCATCCTAGAACGAGAGAAATATGATCTAAAGTAAAGGGGGGAATGTTTACTGCAAAAGTCGTAGTGAATGAGTAAATATTTACTCCATCATGACTTTAAAAAACAAAACTTTAAAGTAATTATCAAATAGATTAAAAAGTCACTACATTTTTTGGTCTCTTAAATAGGTTTGCAAGCTACGAGGTGAAGAACATGGTTTAATAAAGTACTGTGCAGCAGGTGAAGAACATGGTTTGATAAAGTACTGTGCAGCAGGTGTAGAACATGGTTTGATAAAGTACTGTGCAGCAGGTGAAGAACACGGTTTAATAAAGCACTGTGCAGCAGGTGAAGAACATGGTTTAATAAAGTACTGTGCAGCAGGTGTAGAACATGGTTTAATAAAGTACTGTGCAGCAGGTGAAGAACATGGTTTGATAAAGTACTGTGCAGCAGGTGTAGAACATGGTTTGATAAAGTACTGTGCAGCAGGTGTAGAACATGGTTTAATAAAGTACTGTGCAGCAGGTGAAGAACACGGTTTGATAAAGTACTGTGCAGCAGGTGAAGAACACGGTTTAATAAAGTACTGTGCAGCAGGTGAAGAACATGGTTTGATAAAGTACTGTGCAGCAGGTGAAGAACATGGTTTAATAAAGCACTGTGCAGCAGGTGAAGAACATGGTTTAATAAAGTACTGTGCAGCAGGTGAAGAACATGGTTTAATAAAGTACTGTGCAGCAGGAGAAGAACATGGTTTAATAAAGTACTGTGCAGCAGGTGAAGAACATGGTTTAATATAGTACTGTGCAGCAGGAGAAGAACATGGTTTAATAAAGTACTGTGCAGCAGGTGAAGAACACGGTTTAATAAAGCACTGTGCAGCAGGAGAAGAACATGGTTTAATAAAGTACTGTGCAGCAGGAGAAGAACATGATTTAATAAAGTACTGTGCAGCAGGTGAAGAACATGGTTTAATATAGTACTGTGCAGCAGGTGAAGAACATTGTTTAATAAAGTACTGTGCACGAGAAAACATGTGGCTGAAACACGACTTTAACCACACCTGCAGCCCACACACCTGCAGCCCACACGGGTGTGTGTGGTGTTTTTCTGTCCAACTTACTGCACAAGTGTTTAACATCTGCCAGCCACACGAGAGATAATATATATGTGTTACACCTGCCGCTTGAGTTGTGCACGTGTTCGTCGTGGTCCAACACTGTGTTTGGTGTTAGATTCAGGATTGATCAACCACTGGATGGTTACTAACGCCACCACAATACGTTATTGATCAACCAGCAAGCATAACTTAATCCAATCAACTGATTAATCATCACTTATCTTTAGCTCAGGACTACAGTAAACTCCCAAGTGAGTTTGGGAGTTAATAATGATTAGTGAGATAAAGATTTGGGGGTTGATATCACATGTAACACCGCTCTATTGTAAAACCGCCCTAAAGTGTACCACTATAATAAGTACTACTATAATGGAACACTAAACTAATAATGTAAACACTACTTATCCTGAGTAACACTTCCCCATTGGTTGCACTTGCTAACACTGTTATGGGCTGACATATGATGGTTACACCGGAACTACAAAGTACACTGCCAACAAGGAGATGCTACACAGGATTAAATACGCTGCCACCATCTGCCTTTGACCATTGAGACTATATCAAGCAACGAGGCAAGAAACATTGCTTGACTAGGAGAGTACTTTCTATGACTGTCATTAATTATGAAAATGGTTGTCAGCCACTATATCCAAAAGGCTAAGAGGATTCAACAATTGACACAGACGGGAAATTTCACGTAAGTTTATTGAGACCAAAATTATGTCAATCACCACTTATAAATCCTACTCTAACACTGGCAAAAAGTTAAGAAATTTGGACATGGAACAAAAACTCAGAGATCACACACATTACCTTAAGCTATCTGTCTCTCCCTGGCTGAGATGTTCTTCACAGCCCCGCTCTCGATCCCGGTGTACC